GGATTTCACTTCTAAATTGGGGATTGGGGTAGGGAAGATCGGACGCTCCAACCTCTTGTAATTTCGCTGTGCTGCATAAGCTATTCTAGATGTTTCATTCTTTGGTATGGAGCAGCAGGGCCAAATATGGCATAGTGCCAAATCTTATTGAATCGCTGCCGAAAGGTCAGGTTAGTTTGAAAGTAATCGTATGAAAAGTCCCTCTACCCCCCCCCCCCCCCCCTCCCTCTCCCCCAATCTTACCTCCTACAGTATACTAGACGCCGAGGTGCGAGACTTCACACCTAGCCGTAGGTGTTCATACCTTTCACCTCGGAACTGCTCATCGTATGAAAAGTCATTCACCCGGTATCAGCAGCAATTTTGATTCGCGTCAAGCACCCATCAAAAAGAGACGTTTAAACTTAATTGGACATATAACAGCTTTTATTCTCAATGTAAAATGTGGTTCTTAATGGAACAAATTCAAGTTCAACCTAATAATTTTACTGCTTAGATTTCTTGATTTGCTTTCGAATTATACCATGATTTTGAGAACAGCAGCTGAAAAAGATTCTGCCAAGAGCCGAAAGCGTGCATTGCTTCCAAAATTTCCCATTGTAGCAAATATTGAACCGCTAAATTCTCGGAAAGCCCCTGGAAAGAAATCAGTTCTTGAAGTCCTCATTTTGAACTCATTTGTGAAACAAAACCATTCAATATTTACAGTGAGGAATTTTTGACTCCTTTTGTCTCATGATATTTACTCAGCGCTTTGAGACCATTTCATTGTGACGTATCATCGTCGTTGCTAACATAGCCATTGGGGGCAAGAAACGCAAGTAACTCGATGAAAAGAAAGAACGCAAGTGATCTCCACAAAAGAGAGACAACAGCAACTAAATAACGTACTGCTGGAAGGTCATTCAGATTGTCTTTATCTCGTTTCACACATCACGGCGAGAGATTAACACCTTTTTTCAATGATTGTTTTCACAGATTTAGCCTGTTTGTATAAAGTGCACGGTAGATAGAGCTGTCTCAATAGATATAATATTATGACAGAGAACAGCCAGCGTCTTATAATTCTTTGCTCTGCAGTACTCACTAAAAAATGAGTACACAAGGCAGGGTTCTTATTTTTTTACTGTATTGTCTGACTCAGCAATGCAATTGCCAACTTGATGCCGGTAGGTTCTTATGTCATTATTATAAATATAGTCAGAAATAAAAGTTTGTCAACTTCTTTTGTGAATTTTTTTGCTTTGCTGATTGTGGGTTACCAAATGATTTTTTTCCGTCAGAGAGAATTTTCAGATTTTTGAGAAAACAACATCTGTGCTGGAATTTTTCAAAAATTGTTAAAAGCAGGAGTAGCTCATTAATAACTCGAGTGCTAAAACATAGAGAAAAACTATTAAAGCGAAACCAAAATGCTCCCTTCATTTATGTTTATTGCTTTCGCTTATTCTTGAGTATATCATGGTTACATTTCACATCGACGTAGAAATAACTAAAGTGCTTATCTGCAACTATTGGGTTGTTTCAAAAGTTGTACCCGTTTTCGATACCTTTTTTTGAACTGTCAATTTTGGAGGAAGAAACCTGGAAAGCTGGAGACTTGTGCTACGAAACGCTCATCGAAATATGATTCAGAAAAATTCTGAACGTACAAATTTTTAGCTCAAACATAACCTGTCTTTATAGTCCCTTTAAGTCGCATAAATCATAAACATATTGCAATCGTGAAAGTTTTAGTCTATATAGTAAGATTAGAGCTAGAACAACTGTTACTAGAAGAACGAAAAGATTTCCTGATTTGTCAACGGCGAACAAAATCAAAAATGTCAAAAAATTGCATTTTTGGCCGCCTCAGAAAGAGCAAAATAAGTGGGCCCTTTCGGATTTTTCAGCACAAAATTTTTATGAAAAAGTTTGATGAAATCCAAAGTTAGCGGCACTGCTCAATCGACTATGGGCTACACTGTGAGCAGTGCTCGTGCAACTCAGCTATATTCCAAATTAAGTTATGCTTCTGCAAAGTAAAGGTTTCTATAAGGAGATGTTTCTCGATTTTCGCCTATAAAATCTTCTCCATTGTTACTGCAATAGCTTTAAAGAGTGTGCAGAATAGCCAAAGATTTGCAGATTGTAACACAGTTTATAGCAACTGCAAAGATTATTTCTGAGAAGAGTTACGGTGAATCAAAGCCAGAGTTCGAAAACGGGTAGAACTTTTGAAACAACCCAATACTTCCTGACTGTTTCTTGCGTTTCCGATCAACCCTCCACTATATCATATTTATATTGGAGATTCCATAAAAAGTAAATTTAAGTTAATTTGGCGCACTTTTATCAATTTTTGCATGTACAATTGAGGACACCAACATCAAAGCTCCTATCACTCTACTTGTCAAAAACTAAACCAAACTGACACTTTCACCTTCACTGTTTCTTATCAGAGGTTTTAGTATCAAAAGTAATGTAGTTTGTAGAAACGTAGCGCTTCTTCAACACAACTACAGCTTTCTTGTTGGAGACATTGTCACCGTTGTCAATGTTTAAAACACATTTAATCCCAACTTCTGGCAAGCAAAAAAAAGGAGAATATTAGGTTGTCCCAAAAGTTTTTACGCCACATTTTCAGAAAATCATAACTTCCTACCCACGCTATGGATTTTTTCATCTTTATTTCTGTTTGAAAGAGGAATCCTTTCTCTTTACACCAATTTCTTTGACATAAATTGGCATTAGAAAGTTCGACAGCCAGAAGCAATTGAAGGAAATTAGTCAAGATCGGCATCTTTCAAGCTGGACCAGAAAAATTCTGGAAGTATTTTTATTTGATAGAGAAAATTTTGTTACAGCTGTACCTTTTTCATGAAATGAAACGAAAAAATCGAGAGCTAGAAGCAAATAAAGAAAATTCTTTCAGTTACGCAGTATTTGAGCGTGCTCAAAAAAGCCTAGGAACATCGCAGAAAAGACGGAAAAGTCATGAACATAGGTTTTGCTGTTTCTCTTTTTAGTTGAGTGAAAATCATGCACATTGAGAACAATTTTAAGGGAGTAATATTTCAGGAATTTGGGTCTATGTTTTTCACGAAAATCAAAACTGCTCTCGATTGGCACGATTTTTGCTCTGCTAGAAAGGGAAAGCCACAAAATCCATGTCTATAACTTTTCCTTTTCTATGATGTTTTTAAGCTTTTTTGAGAATGCTCATTACAAAACTGAAGAAATTCGCTTTATTTGCTTCTAGCTTTAGATTTTTTTCGTTTCATTTCATGGAAAAGGTGCAACTTTAATGTGCAAAATAATCTCTATCAAATAAAAATAATTTCAGGATTTTTCGAGGTCAAGCTTGAAAAATGCCGATTTTGACTGATTTCCTTCAACTGCTTCTAGCTGTCGAACTTTCTAATGCAATTTAAAGAAATTGATATTGCTATACTACCTATACTCAAACATATTGCTCTGAAAAAAAGGGTTTCCTTTTGCAAATAAAAATAAAGCTGGAAAAATCCGTGGGAAGGAAGTTATGATTTTCTGAAAATGTGGCGCAAAAACTTTTGGGACAACCTAATATTTCCGTTCCAGTTGCGCTCAAAAGTATTTTTGAGTTGTTTGCTCATTTTAATTAACAACGAAAATTGTCAAGCCATCTAAAAATGCTTCTGTAGACTCTCTCTGGTGTCAATCTAATCTACCCCAATCCGAATCACGCCAAGGCATGGTGGGATGCGTATCGAGAGGGCTCTACGTTAATGGCTAGTTTTCACCTCTCTCAGCCCGGTCCCGATTGGGGCCAATTTCGTTTGTGCTCAAAGCTTAAATTCAATGATGAAAAAGCCTAGTGGGAGATACTGGAAGTTCTAGGCTACGCCATGGTTCCATAAGAAATCCCAAAATTGAAAACAAAGTGTCGTGAAGGATCATGTAACTTGGTGGGTCCGAAAAAATTTGTTGGAAAAGGACGCAACAACTTTTCCCAAGTAAAGCCACTCTTCATACTTCACTTACTCACAGCAGCATTCAGGTCATGTCGTACAGTTAAAGCATTTTTGAAGCAGGGGGAGGGGAGGAGGGGAGGGTCCTCCTTCTGTTTGCCACTGATGCATTCCTTTAGCCATTCACATAATCGAAACGATAAAATTGACTGCAAAATGCAATATCTTCTAAGTTCTAAACAGTGGAAAATGAACACTGAAATAAATATATACAGGTTGTCAAGACAAGATAAATGCGAAAACGGGCACATCGGATTGTGCCGCAATGAGATATCTGTGCGATAACCCGATGTATTCTTTACTGATGACTGAGCAATGTCCGAGAACATGCAATCGATGCAACAATGTGAGCGGTAAGTCTTTTAATGTAAGCATTGAGAAAATTATTCAATGTCCAGCACAAGCATCTTGGTCAGGCTTCGTACCTTTATCTGTTTTTTTTTATATTATAGTGTCGCAATCAGAAGCTGCAACATGACGATTTTAGGTTGCCGTGACAAGCCAAATTCGAAAACCGGTAATTCGGATTGTCCCTCCCTCAAAAACTTCTGCGACAACCCAATATATTTCGCGATAATGACGGAGCAGTGTCCGCAAACATGCAACAGATGCCCTATAGTTACCAAGTCTTCTACTAATGCATCTAGAACAATATCAGAAAATGAAGACAACACATCCAGCAACATTGGGAAAACAAACACAAGCAACGATCCTTGGGGACCAGATAAAGACGAAACCCTGCCTGAGGATGATTACTCAGATGCAGACGACAATTATAGACTCGACGTAGAAGACTCCTATGACAGTGATGCGCAAATGCAAGACTCACAATTTGATAGGGTTGCCATAGGTCAAGTGTACGTTGAGCCAATGGAAGTCGATGCTCCGCCCGACATGAATGATCCGCAAATGCAAAACTCACAGTTTGATAGAGTTGCCATAGGTCAAGTGTACGTTGAGCCAATAGAAGCCAATGCTCCGCCCGACACGAACGACGACGTTGATCAGGACATGGACCAAGGATCGACAGAAGGAGACAATGGAATAGACGATGTAGACGCTTACGACGATCAAGACCCCGAATTAAATGAAGACGGAAGTGCGCCAAACGGGGATGATAACGACACACCAGATGACGGATCACCGGACGGGAGTGGACAGGATGACATCACCAATAACAATGCAGGAAACACGGCTACAGGAACGAATGACGGCCAAGGGCAAGGTGCAAACACTAACGGCGGTGAACAAGGCGGGAACGGAGGATCCGGCCAAACAAGCTCCGAGTCAAGCTCAGGTGAAATCTTCTTAATCGAATCTACCAACACTTCGATCCGCACCATTAGATGCTCAGTTTAGATTGTCGTGACGCGCTGAATCCAAAAACGGGTACATCAGATTGCCCTTCGCTTCGATATTTATGCGAGCATCCGTCATATTATGCACTAATGACTCAGCAATGCCCTGCAACGTGCAACAGATGCAATACAAAAACTAGTGGTGAGTGACATCAAATCTGCAGCATCCCAAACATGTTTTCCACCAGAAAAATTGTAGAATATCCAACTTTTTTTACTGTAACAAATGTAGAATACTAAACAATCTCTAAATTCCTCAAACATTTTGTTTTCATATATGTTCACTTTTTCATGGATAAAAGTTACAACAACGCTCAACGTTTAACATGTTTTGGGCTCTTACGATTGATGGTGAGATATGATCTTCTAGAAAATCTGTTAGCGTTTGGCGCCATCTTGTCGAAAGCGATGTGGTGAACACAAAGATGTCATTATTGCCTTTTCTCTCTCGAACGTGAACCCATAAAGCTCACGGAAACGATAATTGGTGACCCCGGCCGTGTGGAATGTGATGTATACCATTAGGTGCATCTCGAAACGATGATTTTTAATGTGCGCTCGAAATCTGCGAAACGGTCATTCAAAGGCAGTTATGAACTTTTTTCGTAGAAAATTTGCGTACTTTTAGGTAGTTAAAATCACCCAATTTGATCTATTTTATCGTTTGAAGCTATTGAGGAGAATCTTGAAAGGTGTAACGTTGTATTTATACCTGTGTAAACAATATTCAGCATTTGAAGAGGAAAGAAAAATTCTTGTTAATGATTTTCATCCTTCGCCGTAGCGCAGTTCATTTTTGAGGAACTAATCATAACTCTATCCAGATTCTCGTTTCGCAGATGTGAAAAACAGCATTCAAACCAGCATTAAAAGGCGCATTTTTTGATATACAAATCATTATGAATGGGCAGAGTAACTAAGTATCGTTCCCTGCTCAGACCTTTCATTCAATTATCTAGCTTTATTTTAGAATGCAAGGACCTTGCTAATCCAAGGACTGGCGTCTCGGAATGTGCATCGAGAATATATCTGTGCACAAATCCCAGTTACAGAACTGTCATGGAGGAGCAGTGCCCGAAAACTTGCGGATTTTGTTTCTGAAACTACTTTCTAAACATCGAAGACTATTTTGTGCATGAGTAGCACTATCTACATTTTACATGTAGCAAGTGTGTATATGCCATTGTTTGCGCTTATGTGCCGTAATACAAATTAACGAATTCTTCTGAATGCTTGTACTTTTAATGAGTTATACTGATAAAGTTTGTGATCTGAAATATCGAAAGCTACAGCGTGTGAAGAAAGCACCAGATGCTGATTCTCAGAACATCAGATGCTGTTCTTTGTCTTTATTGCTACTTAATGCAGCGAAAAACACAAAAATGAGGTTCAAAGTATACATAATACAATTTTATTACATTCGCAAATAACACGCCTTACTAGAATTGGGTTGAGTGCTAGAATTTTGGAACGTAATCTGATATACATTTTATATTTAGCATCACTGAAGTGCATTCAATAGGATTTCTTGCAGGTACTGTTTTTGACACGGTTTTAAAAGTCAAATGGAATCGAGATGACACCGAAACCCGTACTAGGAGTAAGGATTGTTTTAGTTGTAAACTCATTAATTCTTTTTAAAACACACTTTTATGCGTTAATGAACTTTTTCTTCTCGTGATGAATTTCTTCGCGATCGGTTTGGTTGTGTACTCTCTTTCAATCGGGATCAGGCCGAAAAACTGACGTGGATTTGGGCAACGTAACGTCATTTGGCTGCATATGCGCACTTTTGAAAAGACCGAAGAGATTAGATTGAAAGCAAGCAGACAAGCAAGGTAGCGCATAAAGCCATATTCACACCTCATCCAAAGCAAAGGATTATGTACTGCCAAAGCGGCCAGTAAACGCTACAGTCGCATTAACGTTCTGTCGTTCATTAGCTATTATGGGCTCTCGGCTGCAGCAGCTCATGTGCTTATGAAATCAAAAATTGATTCCGCCAAATATTGAAAAAATATCCTGACTTAAAAGCCATAATATTTTGACTTATCATGACTTGTAAGCCTAATCTGTCGGTATATAAATTGGCTGTTACGATATTACGGTGAGGAATAATTTACGTTGCTGCAATGCATGTGAGAGCCGCATGACAAGTAAAATTCATTTTTGTAATTACTTAGCGGTCCCGCGATCAAAGAATGGTTGAATGGCCGACACCATACGTAAGTTTAACTAATACGATAGCCAGTGCGACCTCCTCGAAGCAGATGTGAAGCCGTGCTTTTTATTATAATTCCAAAAATAATCGGTTTTTTCTTGATACAAGCAGTCAATGTGAACGTTTAGTTGAATCGATCTGCCGGAATGATCTGCAACTTCAGCATTTATTCTGTGCCTTACATTTTGGCTACACGCCGACCTCAGAGGTGTTATTCACAACGATGTCCGCTCTCGACGCCAAACGCCTCTTCGCACTTGCACACTGATGCATCCAGTGTGGAAAAAGAAGGTCGGGCCATGACTTTTACTCAACAGCGCATTACCGACATAGCAGTGTGCAACCGCTTTAGACGAGCCCGTTCGCCTAGGTTACTCAAGAATGAGCAAAGTGCATGCAACTGCTTATATACGCTCAGATAATCTATAGCTCACTCGCAAAATATACGGCATGAGACCAGCGGTAATGAATAACCGTGCATTCTTGCTCTTTATTTCGAGATCACGTGTTAGAAAGTAGGATGCTTACAAAACCCTCTGCGCAGATGTTTGACTTTCCTAGGCTGGCGTTGTGCCCTTACATCGTAGTCGTACCTTCGTGCTCTATCATTCTATGTCTACCTAGTGGGCTCATCATGCTCTGTTTTTTTTTGCACTTACAGTAAGGATCCTTAGTCGAAGTGGCCGTTTCAGAAGAAACACATGCCTTTTTAAACCTCAGTGGATGCTAATTCAAAATCTGTCTTCGTTATCTGCTCTTCCCCCGCAGATAGCGCAGACAGATTTGCAATTAAGGACTCTGACGACTTCATGTAGCAGAAGCGTAAGTCAATAAAGTGTGTTACCATGTACAAAAATTGTACGGAACAGAACAACAGAAGTTGACCATAACATTCTTGCTTTCAAATGGGGGATTTTCAAGAATGATCTGCGTCTATACTGCACACACCTGTTTATAGTTACTAACTGGCGTCCCCGGTCCCACCCGGAAGGATCCAATGTGACCCGTCGAAGTGTCTGTTCCGAAGCGTTCTATGGTTTCCATTTCCCCTTTCCTTCAATTTGCATCTTCTCTGCTGTCCTGCTTCGCTCCGAGTTCGAATTGCAGCGCCCAAAGGTATCCGTGGTAAAATTACTTTCCTTCTTTACCGCCTCGCTTTCTGACACCGCATTCTTCCCACCGCAAAATGTATTTGATCTCTACTATCCCTTACTATCTGACATGGGAAAACGATTGATAAGCTTTATTCTCTTTTGATAAAAGTAAAAAATTTGATAAATAGAAGAAGGACCCAGTGAATCGCCGCGAAAAATAGCCTATGACCTGCGCCGTAACTTGTTTATAGTAGGGGAGAGAATTCCAGCCTTATAGTTTGACTCAAAAAATTTGTGTTCCGAACAAAGACTCACAGAGACATCCACACTTTGGCTTTTGCATATATATACAGACTATTTTAAGCATTCAAAACATGTGTATGGTAGGCAAAATCGAATTCGAGGATGTAAGCGGAGAAAAAGGGATACCTGAGTTTCATCATAAATTGCAGGCAGCTTGCTTGTACCAACCCACAAACGTAAAGGGAGGAAATAAAAGCACAATTTCCAAGTATTGCCTTACCGCATTCATTTCACCAATCAATGAGGAAAAGTTTGCTGTACGATTCGTGTACAAGGCTTAGAATTCAAAGTTAATAATGTTGAGTAAAGCACAAAAACCCCAAAAATCTAAGATGTATTAGTTTGAGATGATATATCCATAATTCCAACGAGCGTTGCCAGTTTTTTCACGTGTTATCAAACTAATCCTCAACATCAGCATGTTTTCTCTCTGTAGCTTTTTCTATTCAAATAAATCTCTGCCCAGAAGCTTTTCTCTTAATTGCCATCGCTAAATGTCGTTCGCAACATTTTTTCCTCTTTGAGCGTTGTGAGCACAATAGAACAGCTTGAGGATATGAGGCAGGGGCTTAGCAAAAAAGAATGATTTCGAATTTTGATGTGTTATTGTAGTGCTACGAAACGGTCCCGCAATGACTCTACGTCACTTTGGCTGGAACTGTTACTCTTACTCAAAATGAAAAGCCATGTAAAAACCTTCCGAGATTAGCGCATTGTATAATCCTAGGTAAGTAATTTTTTTTAATCTCAAAATTTGCTGAGCCACATATCCTAGCAAAAGATTTACGTACAAAGGAGTTAAAACGGCTGCGAAGAACTTTGATAAAACGAACAACAGCTAATATGTGGAGAATTTAACGAGAGGAGATAAAATGAGTAAAATGATTGTGATATAATTGGTATGTTTTTGAGGAACGAAGATAGGTGCTGCACAATAGAAAGTTACAAAACCTGATCTTTTTCCTAAAGACATTAGAGATAGTCCTAGACACGTAAAATTACATGTGGACAAACACCAATCAACTTTTTTTAGGTTACGAAAAAAAGTAGACGGTTCTGTTATGATTAGTTTAGGATAGTTTCTAGTAAGAAAAACGTGCAGACCCACGCAAAATTTTTAGGAGAGAATAATTTAAGGCAAGGAAAGAGATTTAAAGAATCGAGTGAACCAATATTTTTAAGGAAAGCAAGCGGTTACCATACATTTAGTAAGAACTTAGGAAGAATGACGTACGACTAAGAAGAAGAGCAACGAATACATGCGTAGTGATGAAAGCACTCTGATGATACAAACGGTGGTGGTATACCGAGAAAGTGTTAGGACACCTGGTCTTTACTCAAAAGAGCTCTAGTGGAATGCCCCATGCACGTTTCAGTGCTAAAGAATTAGCGCAAATTCAGGGATTTAATGTCTTTTCCTTAAATTAAGAATGTGATGATGAAATAGATGCACTACTTTTATTTCACTACAGAGAACGGAATCTATCTGATCAGAACAAGAACAAAAACGGATGCAGGTATCAGTTTTTAAGCAGAACTGAGTGTTATTGAAAAAACCTTTGTCACTGTGCATAAACGTAGCTGCTTCAGCATTGAGTGTGTTGAAAACTTGCGCCCTAACGCAAAAAGTCGAGCGGCGCGCTTTGCGCTTTTAAATAGTTTCAATCAAAATCTGATGATACTAAACACTTGACCGCTTAAGGGGCCGGACATACTTCATGCGATCTCAGTCGCGACGCGATTTAGCAATATTCCAACTTTCCATAACTCACTGTAAGCACATTTAAAATATACAGAAGATGGGGCACTTTATCGATCCACGTAAGTTATACAAACTATGCAGTACAGTTTGCTAATTGTGCATCTGAAGACTTCTGGCGACTCGCCAAATCGCGTCGCGACTGAAATCGCGTGAACTATGCCCGGACCCTTGATGAAAAAATTCCACAAGGTGGGAAGTATGCAAGGCAAGAGCCCAAACTAAAACCTGACGCAATGAATTCGAACGAAAAAGGAAATACGCCACTGAAACGCGACGATATTCTCATTTGACTATCGTACTACCCCACGGTATAAAGGGCGGAGCATTGCCGACGTTTGTCAAGGTACCCTTTGATCCAACTTGATTGGCGGCTGGAAGGCGGGGCTTCGTGATCTAGTTGAGGCCAGAGAATGATAATGATCAACGCACGGGAGAGGCGCAGATTGCGTCGCGGGCGCGAGCGGCCTTATTATACCACCTTCCCGCCTAGCCCGCCTTCCAGCCGCCAACCCAGTAGAATCAAAGGTTATGCGCTTATTTTTGACAGATAAAACTAATGGTGTAAATTGCATTCAAGAATTCTTCAACTTCTTCAGATGTCTGCAGGGCCACACTTGTTGTACGTGTGGCACTTGCCATAACAATGCGAAAAGCATGGGTTGGGAGGTCATTGTGGCATTGCGCATGATGATTACCGAGACTGTGGTAGATTGAAGCGGCAAGCAGTGCTCCCGGTTTTCCTATTTCAAGAATTGCAAAATTGCCGTGGCAGAGGCAGTCGTAAGAAGATATGGGCTGCTGCATGACGAAGGCGCAATATCTTTGGGCGCGAACGCGGCTTTATTAGCCGCAAAGCGCAGGAGGCGCAGAATTTACAACGGTGAGGATAGGCGCGCGCTGCGTTCGTGCCCGCTCATCTAATACTGCTATTGCGCCTTCGTCATGCAGTAGCCTTTACCTGATTCTTGAAAGCTTGCAAGACTGATAGATTAAGCACTAAGCTCGTAATGCCATATCTGGTCTCTTCGCTAATAAAAGTATAGTTATTCATTTTCTCAAAAAATGTGAAACTTCATAAATGGCAAAATTACTGATTGTCTCCTTCTCGAGCAAAAACTGTAGTATCTGAAAAAGAGAGAATATTCTTGAAGCATTTATTCTGTAGATTTTATGGAGAGTATGACACCGCATATGTACAAGTAGACAAAATCCTTTTCTGCTTTCATTCACGAGAACGCCGTGCAAAGCTTTGATCGCACAAAATACTACAAACACTAACATTGGTTTTGTTTACATTCAATTTGACCTGTAGAAGAGGATGCATAGATATGCATTCAGGTTAATCAATGCAAATTTGGTTTATTCACAAAAGTGCAATTTGAGTGAAAGCAGATGTAACATAGCTACATGTTGTCATATACGTAATGATTGAAAGACTTTCCTCGCAATAGTTATTAATGCAAAGAAATGGCTTTATGTTGCCAAGCTCTTATTCTTTTATTGTGCTGTTTTTCCCAACTTTCTCACCATAACTTGTCAAGTGAGTATCTTATTCAATATCTAGATTATTGAAAATGATCTTCGGACTTAGTCTCATGAATTAGTCCCATGCATTTTAGTGCTATTATTGCAATTTTGATACTAAATTGCACCTGTCAAAGACGTCCGCTAAAGCGGAACTTACACCCTTTAAACTCACTCGCTATAAGTTAACGTACTAACCATCATGCAATCGCGTAGTCTGTGGCTTGTATCCAGAAAATTTTGAGGACGCTGAAGTAGCCTCTCGATTGCTTTGAGCCACCTGGTCAAACACTATTTCGCTTTCGACTGCTACGGCTCTGCGCTTAGCTATATGGGAGATTCGAACGCTTCAGTCACCCATGAATAATTTTTAGTAGAAAATGAAGGCTGCCAGTGTCTTTTTTGAAGCGTGGGCTAATACTGAATTGATACATATGTTTTACACCAAAGCGCATTTATACCTCTATGTATGTGTGTACGTATGTTTCGAATAGAAAATTACACTCTTCTCAAGCCTTTATTGAGGGTTTTTCCTAGAATATTCAATACACGTTGGGCAAATAATGCGGTTCTTTTTGGTATGTAAAGACTGTTGTAATATATATAAGGTCGTCGGATTATTTCGATTACATTTTCTCCAATTTTTCTAGAAAATTCCAAAAGCTTCTTGAAATCCAGATATGCGACGCGCTTAGGACATAGCAGGTTCTACCCACCAGCATGATTGATGCCGCAGTTGCACTAATGAACAACAAGTTTGCGGTAGTATTGCAAAAGGCGCAGATTTTCAATTTTTGTGTGATTTTTTCTCTGCACTTACTTCCCTCTTCTAGAATTTTCTTAGAACGTATTTTGGCATTTTTCTTACATGGAAGCATTTCCGTGCCTCAAGTGATTCAAAAAGGAAAAACATCATAAAATTCAAAAGCTTTTATGCTTCTCTTTATGTGCATCGTGTAGGAATAGTTACAGAAAACTTAAAAATAATCTTTTGGATTTTTTTGAAGACAATTTCTTTGTTAGAATGTTGAACACATTTTGCACCGGAGATCTAGCCCATTACCGGCATTACTTTGGAAACTTGTTATACATAAACAATACCAAGATAATGTCGTTTTAAGCGAAGTTCCGATACTCTCTTGGATTTTTGGCTCTCAGCCGATCGTTGAATCTTAACTGAAAGCGAACAAGATCAGCAGTGAGTGGGACGATTTTTTTCCTTGCATAAATCCAGATCTCAGTGCAACTGTAGTATTAGGTTGTTACATAAGTCTTGTTACACTTGACTTCTAACGGCGATAAGTCTTGTACCTCATAATCTTTGCAGGACTCCAGGGTACCGTTCGATAGAGAAAAGCAAGCTCTACAAGATGGCCTGCAAAGTTTCGCACCAACATCGACCCACGTTAACTTTGAATTCGAAATCTGAGTCGTAGTGAAGGCTCAAAAATTGCGAGAAATTCATATCTTTGTTCAAAAAAATCCTCCGCATCTCCAACTTGCTCATAAAAATTGCACACTATATCAGACATTCATATGTACCGTTACTGTATTTTTTCCTCATATAGAAATCGAGAAAACGAAAATTTTCTTGTTTTTACAAAAACGAAGCTATGCTATTTCTTTATATGTAGCTGTATACTACAAGCCCTTAGAAGTATAACCGTAAATTTTCAGCTTTCCGGAAGCCCTAGTTTTCGAAAATTACCTAATTTAGTATTGAACACCCGAGTAAAAAAAGCTAAATTCGATATTTTTCGAGAACTAGGGCTTCTGGAAAGCTGAAAATTCACGGTTATACTTCTAAGGGCTTGTAGTTTACAGCTACATATAAAGAAATAGCATAGCTTCGTTTTTGTAAAAACAAGAAAATTTTCGTTTTCTCGATTTCTATATGAGGAAAAAATACAGTAACGGTACATATGAATGTCTGATATAGTGTGCAATTTTTATGAGCAAGTTGGAGATGCGGAGGATTTTTTTGAACAAAGATATGAATTTCTCGCAATTTTTGAGCCTTCACTACGACTCAAATTTCGAATTCAAAGTTAACGTGGGTCGATGTTGGTGCGAAACTTTGCAGGCCATCTTGTAGAGCTTGCTTTTCTCTATCGAACGGTACCCTGGATTCCTGCAAAGATTATGAGGTACAAGACTTATCGCCGTTAGAAGTCAAGTGTAACAAGACTTATGTAACAACCTAATATTTATATTTACGGCAACGCTCCAAATCAAAACATCAGAGACGCCTACACAACCTCACATTTTTCGCCATGTTTAGGGAAAAATTTGGTCGTATTTTCCCTAAGGCCGAGAAATATGTCACATCTGTATTCCAAAATTAAGCCTACATTGTTTAACACACTCGACAAGGTGACCCATACGATGGGTTAGGCTGCGTTCATACTGATCCCAAAGTTCGGGAACAATTCCAGCACAGCGCTTAGTTCGAGCGCTGTGCTGGAACTGTTCCCGAACTTTCAGATCAGTATGAACGCAGCCTTAGCTTGAACTGGTAAAATTCCATTCTGTAGAAGACTCTTTGGGTATTCTCTTATGCGCTGGGTCTAGAAACAACTTCCATATTTCTCGGCAACCTCTTGGGGATAAGATAGGTATACTGTAAATGGCAATTCGGTTTTAGCCGAAGAAGTTTGGAGAGGGGGGGGGACAAGCGAAATGTGCGTTGTCGTCGATTTGTCATACGTTAATACTCTCTTTTCACAAAGTGTTTGCTTAGCGAATTCAATTTACAATCGGAATCATATTTGGAAAGCTCTGGAAACTTGTGTAGCATGATTCCATATGACAACTTTTTACGAGTTTGTGCGTTCTAAATGATTTGACCACATTTTGGAAAAATTTGCTGCGTTCTGCCTAGCATCATTTATTGGAAAAAAGAAGATTTACGATACATGATGAACATCCTAAATGGCCAGCGAGTCAGTTTAGCCTAATTATAGAGTCAGAAACCTGCAATACAAACTTCCGCTAAGCATGTAGCAATGAAGCTTTTATGTATGATATCAACTCAATTGTGCTGCGCTATCGCTTTCCTACAGAGCTCATTTCGCATAATTGAGTGCAAGAACCCAAGAGAAGAAAAACGTTTTTTTCAGAAAAGGATAATGACGGTGACGGACCGATAGGACCGCCAAGACCGGAGGACGGAGCTAGGTTGAAAAGATCACCAAAATTGAAAGGCAACTCCTGGATACCGGGACTGAAGGGTAAAAGCGGAGAACGAAAATCATCAAGGAAGAAAGAGAGGGATAGGCCGCCTGAACCTAAAAGCAAATCCTGGTTCTATAAATTCTCGATAAAACCTAAAGGATCGAAGGGTGATTCCGGAATATTAGCAAAACCGGGCGCGAAGGGCGAAGCCGGACCACCGGCACCGCCAGGACCAAAGGACGACTCAAAAGGAACGAAAAGCAAAGCTGGGCCACCAGCACCGCCAGAAGGAAAAGGCGAAGTAAGAACGTCAGAATCAAAGCGCAAGTCATGGTGGCAACGGTCAAAACCAAGAGAGGAGAACGAAAACAAACCATTAGAAGAGAAAGGGGTAGAAAGAGAAAAAGCCTCTTCGAAGACCAAGGGCTCATGGTTTTGGAAATCAAGAAAACTGGAAGGAACGCAAGGCGAAAACAGGCAACAAGGAGCAAAGGGAGAAGCCGGATACCCAGGAAAACCAAGAGCGCAGGGTGAACCCGGGCCGGCAGGACCACCGGGAAAGCAAGGACCGCCAGGGCCGCCAGGGCCGCCAGGACCGCCAGGACCGCCAGGGCCGAAAGGAAAACCTGGGAAGCCAGGAAAGAGAGGAAAGCCTGGGAAACCAGGAGGGAAAGGAAAACCCGGACCACCTGGGCCAAAAGGGAGGCCTGGGCCACCAGGCGAAAAAGGGAAGCCCGGACCACCTGGGCCAAAAGGAAAACCTGGACCACCATCAGAAGCAAAAGGTGAAGCCAGAACGCCACAATCAACGCGCAGATCATGGTGGCCGTGGTCGTTAAAACCAAAAGCATTGGAGAACAATTACGAACCATTAGAGGAGGAAGGAGTAGAAAGAGAAGCCTCTCTGGAGACGAAGAGCCTACGGTTGAACGCTCCACCGAGAGGAGCGCAAGGCCAAAGCGGGCAACCAGGAGCGCAGGGCCAAGCCGGTCCTGCAGGACCACCAGGAAAACCTGGACCGCCAGGGCCGAAAGGCAAACCTGGACAGCCAGGACCAAAAGGTAATCCTGGGAAACCAGGAGAGAAGGGGAAGCCCGGCCCACCTGGGCCGAAAGGAAAACCTGGACCACCAGGTGAAAAAGGGAAGCCCGGACCACCTGGGCCAAAAGGAAAACCTGGGGCACCAGGAGAGAAAGGACAGCCTGGGCCACCAGGACCTAAAGGAGAGCCTGGACCGCCAGGACCGAAGGGCGATCCTGGTCCGCCAGGAGAGAAAGGAGATCCAGGACAACCAGGAGAAAAAGGTGATCCAGGAGCGCCAGGGGAGAAAGGTGATCCAGGACCGCAAGGACCTCCCGGTGACCCTGGACCTCCAGGAGAGCCTGGCGATCCTGGGCCGCCAGGAGAGGATGGCGATCCTGGGCCACCAGGAGAGGATGGCGATCCTGGACCACCAGGAGAGGATGGTGATCCAGGACCTCCAGGACCGGATGGCGATCCTGGACCGCCAGGACCGGATGGGGATCCAGGAACGCCGGGTGCTCCTGGAGATCCTGGACCGCCAGGACCGGGTGGAGGACCTGGAACGCCAGGATCGAATAGTGGCGGCAACATTCCAGGTGGACAGAATCCAGGCAAGTGTCTTATGTTCTATGTAGTAGTTTTAAGTAGTAGTATTTTGACAACTTCAAAATATTTTCGCTCATAAGTCCCAAATGCATGCCGCAGTTGTCTCTCCGGAAAATCGTGTTGAAATTTAGATTGTGTGGATTTGGTGAATCCAAAAACTGGTGTGTCGGATTGTCCTCAACGCATATATCTTTGCAATGATCCTATATATTATCAACTTATGACCGAACAGTGCCCAAAAACATGCGATAGGTGCGATGAGTGGGCGAAGATAGCGGCAGGTAATACTGCTTCCGGTAATGATGGTGAGTACAGCAAATCATACGCAAGTGACTGCTTGTGATTTGCGTCATTTAGATTGCGTAGACCGGGTAAATCCGAAAACGGGAGTGTCAGATTGCCCAAAACTCAGACATTTGTGCAATGATGAAAAATATCGTGCTCTCATGGCTGAACAATGTCCGAAGACATGTTATAATTGTGGAGCCACAAACATCACCATCACAAGTTCTCAACAGTCGTCAACAAAAATTGTTGTAAATAATGTGCAAGTAACGTCGACGACAAAGTCAGGTATCATTTAATCAAGTTATTTTTTTTATCTGTTCTAACTCTATACAACTAATCAATCGATAATCTCTATGGACTTATATAATCAACTAATCAATCGGGCTGGGAGTTCGCATAGATGGAAGAGTGAACAAACTGAGTATGATACAATAACCGTTTACAAAATGACCATTACTTTCGATAACTTCTGAAATTTTTGTTGGTACAAGCGGAGTGAGCACGGCAATACAGGGTCAGTAAGCTGCCATATAGAAGTGAATCAGAGACAAAAATGTTTTGTAGAAGTGCTAGTTTTATCATGTGACCAGGTAGGGCTGGCGAAGCCGGATATCCCAGCTAGTTTTTACAAGATGGAGCTAATCACAACCTCTTCGTTGCTGTAACATTCGGTAAGAACTTTCGAAAGTGTTTTGAGCCATCAAGGGCTATGTTTTGCCCTAGAATGGTTACTCAACAGGCTAACAATGTTAGTAGACTAAAATAAATTGGATGGATATATTAAGTTGTGTAGTAAGTTCTGTCCCATTATTTCTTTCGATTTTTTGTCAACGATGATCACCTTGTTTGGAATCAAGTGTATAAGCCTTTGAAAGCTCTAACCATAAGTCTTCTCTACAGACTCTTATGGTCCGTCCTTCAACTCAGCAGGATATTGAAAATGATTATTGGAATCAGAGGAAAAAAATCCGAAGCAAAAGATCTATTTTCGACATCTTTTTCCTCTCCAAATTTCCCCATTTTCCATTGGTAATTTTTGTTCAACAAGCCTCACATAAAACAGAACAAGTTTTCGAACTCTTACGGTAGTGTTGTCAATGTTTGTACTTGTTCCCTTCCGACTTAATGATGCCATTTTTTTTAAAAGTCGGCAAAGCAAAAATTTGCTGCGCGATGTTTGTCGCCTCGCGAAAAAGCCTCAAACATTGAATTTTTGAAAAACTAACTTATGAATTCGACGAATTTATAGCCAAAGACCATCCCTACTGCTTATTATAGAGATTACTCGTTTGTCGTCTTTTCTCAGGACTGCCTTCAGATAGCGAACTTCAACTAGGAGAAGATGCTAGAAAGAAGACTTTTTCTGAGCTTGAAGAAAAATTTTTTGAAAACTCTTCTGCATTTTTGAACCTCTGCAAAAACTATAGCATTCTTTTCTTACGCTCAGTAGATTTTTCGAGCTGTTTTGTAAGCATTCTGACCTAAACGGGGGTGATAGTTGTCGAAAATGTAATTTTTCTCGTTAATTTTCTAAACTCGATGCTGTAAAACATTTTAAATTCCATTTTTGAAGGATACTGAAGTGAAGATTTTGGTAGAGCAGGCTTAGAGCTTTGTGCATATTCACATCTTGCAGAACATCGTTCAAATATTGTAAAAAATCGAATGAAAAATTGGGACAGAACTTTTAAACAACCTAATAAAAATAAAATTCGCGCTTTACTCCTTCCATAAGTCATGCCAGGTGAGACCCACAGCATTATTGATGAAACCTTTGAAACTCACAAAACTTGTAGAAAGATTCTGGTGAAATCAGCATATTTGAAAACACCGCTACACTTTTCAGATTTTTTGAACTTTTTTTTGAACGCCTAATTTTACAAAAGCTGAGCTAAGTTACGAAGATAAGTTCCTACCTTAAGTTCAAAGTAACCAAGATTGATCAAATTAGATGATTCTAAAAAATAATATTTTCGTAATCAGCATGCTTTGTTACCCCCCCCCCCCGCTCTGCCCTCCGCTGTGCCAACTCCCAACCCCGTAGATCTAACTTTGCAAAAATCGAAAAATATCGATAAAGAGGTACTCTTCGACATCCGCTCCTCCCCAAGGTATATACAGGGTGTCCCAAAAAATGTGAACACTGTTTGATCGTTAACAACTCCCTTGCCTTCAAGCTTTTCGCCGAGCTTGAGGCACCATTTTATAGAGCGAGGTTCAACTTAGACATACAGTATGGAGCGAATCATCGATCACTTTTTATTACTGTAGGATTACGGTAGCAATTTTGACAGGAATTTTACGCCATTGGAGGCCATATTCTGCTTCGAAACAAAACCAAACAGGCCAAATATTCTTGTACTGTGGTAATGGAAGCCGCTGATTGCGAATATGAAATTTCCATTTGGGAACGGCCATAGGTTGTCGGTGTTGTCGGTGTTGTCGGGGTTGTGGGGGTCAGAGACAGTTTAGAGAGCGCGCGAAACGTGGAGGCTATCATAGGTCCTACAACGACCGGCAACCTCGCAACCTCGACAACACCGACAACACCGACAACCTATGGCCGTTCCCTTTACTGTGATGCTTTTTTCCAAGGTTGTCTCAGGTAAATCGTAATAACTGAATTCCCAGCATTTGTCAAGAATGTGATTACACCGTCAAAAAAGCTAAGAACACTCGTAATAAGTTGTGCAGTGGAATCAGCGTGCGCAAAAACCCTAGTACACAATTTTTCAGATTATTTGGGAAAAATTTTATGGAATGGCATATTTCACAATGGGTCCACATGCTAGAAGTTCTTACCGTTATCCTACAGTAACGAAGAGTGATCGTGATTTGCTCCATACTGTATGTCTGGCTGCCTCAAGCTTGGCGAAAGACATGAAAGCAAGGGAGTTATTAACGATCAAACAGTGTTCACATTTTTTTGGGACACCCTGTATGTGTACCCGGATCGGCTCAGAAATAAAAATCTATATCGCACATACCTACATACAGACAGACAGACAAACAGACAGATATAGAAACACTTTCAAGCTTCATATTCAAGATTCATACGAATTATGAGAACCTAACTAACTTTTATGGAATTATCTGAGATTACTGGCATGCAAAATCGATGAAGACCATGTTTCCCTTAACGAGTTTTCATTTTTCTTTTCAGAACATAAGTTCTCAGTGATTCAAGGCCAAATGGATTTATCACATCCTTCGTTTTCAGAATGTGCGGATAGCGTAGATCCAAAAACGGGATTCTCGGATTGCCCACTGAAAGCTCATTTATGTGGAGATCGCGTGTACAAGTCTCTCATGGCAAGACAATGCCCGAAAACTTGTGGTATTTGTTAGTAGGGCAAATACATTCTTTGTTTATATATATTAGGTTGGCTAGAAAGTTCTTGCGTAATTCAAACAAAATTCAATAACTTTTCAAAGACTAAACCTAAACTCACAATCTTGTTCCTTAAAAATATTAGAAGGCCTGCGCTCTATGATGGATGTTTAAGCGCAAGATTTCATGAGCTAGTCCCCGAGAACGAAGCTCTCAAATATGGGACTTCAAAATTTGCAATTTTGAGTTTGGTGCCAGAAAATCGCAGAGTGCCGCTAGCTAGCCGAAAAAAATCTGTAAAAATTACTTACACTGCAGAAGTCCATACATTATTTTAACAGGCTTTAATCTCGCATGGAAACGCGAGAACAAAAAATTTGTGGAATTTGTCATTTTACAGGATAAATCCCCTTATCGATGTAATTTTTCCACAAAAACACAGTTTGCTACCAGAAATAAGACATATTGGCTGTTTAGAACCTTGCGACGTTTTTTGGAGTGTAAAAAATTGTTTTTGTCGAAAAACTGCGGTAATGAGTGGATTTTTTCGGCAAAATGACTATTTCACGAATTTTTTGTTTTTGCTTCACTGTGCAAGATCAAAGCCTTCCAAAGTAACTTATGGACTTCTGCAGTGTAAGTAATTTTTACAGATTTTTTTCGGCTAGCTAGCGGCACTGTGCGATTTTCTGGCACCAAACTCAAAATTGCAAATTTTGAAGTCCCATATTTGAGAGCTTCGTTCTCGGGGGCTAGCTCATGAAATGTTGCGCTTAAACATCCATCATAGAGCGCAGGCCTTTTAATATTTTTATGGAACAAGACTGTGAATTTAGATTTAGTCATTGAAAAGTTATCGAATTTTGTTTGAATTACGCAAGAACTTTCTAGCCAACCTAATACATATGTGCATTTGATTTTTTCGTGTCCTCGTAATGATGATGTACTAAAGCATCGCTGAGAGCATACTCTAGAACATTTTTTAGCTATAAATCAAAAGTTTTTACAGGAACTTTGCTAAAATTTGATAAACATTATTAAAGTATCCAAGTTTTTCCTTCACAAGTGTCAGCGCTGCCACAGATTTGCATGCTGCCGAATCCTTCCATAGTCGATGTTGTTTAGTGAGCGTTAGCTCAGCGGAGACGGCCCGAATACTGTAGCTGTCATAACACCAGATGAGATGCGGTTTACTGGCGATCACACAGATTGTAGTACAGGAATACGACCAAGAGTATCATAAGGTCCATGGTTGGTGACGACGGCTACGACGACGGGGCAAACGTCCGCCCGGAGATGAAGAAGGCGCCACTGCTCTGGAGCGGCATCAGAATCTCTCTAGCTTGTAGTGGCCCAGCCACGCCTTGAAATAGATGAGTCAGCGATGGCGTACTCTGAGCTTAAATGTTAAGATTAGAATTTCAGCGCGTAGCGCTGCTCTTACACCTCCCCCATTTTCTTCAAGTCCGTCCCGTCTCTTACACCTCCCCCATTTTCTTCAAGTCAGTCTTGGGGAAAAATCAAGGAAAAGAAGATTAATACTTACCTTGCACAAGAAAAAAGTTAGAGATATTTGTCTAGCTGGGGAAAGTAGCGATCGCGTAATTGAGGCGGACCAGGTGAGGACTTTGTTCCAGTACGGCACTCTTTGTGACATCGCTGCGAAGTGCGCTTCTAGAAACGCCATTATACGTGAACACAGCTTGTCCCTTTTTTGTTTCGATCGCATCGTATGGGCAAATGGCTGTGAGTGCGCCAACAAAGACTGTACGCGGACGGAGAGAACAATCGGTAGTACGCAAGGTGTTAATGCTAACGGGGAATTCCACAATATCGGAGGCTGAACTACCGTCCTGAAAACGAACGTGCTTATCAGCCGATCTTGGCAAAGCGTCAGCAACGACGTTTGCAGAGCTCTTGTGATACTCAGTAGAGACATCGTAACTCTGTATCTCAACGACCCAC